ATATCGATATCACCAGTAGTATCGCCATTTTTGCAGCTAACCATATATTTTGTTTTATCCACGTTTATTTCGAGTCCTAGTTCTTTACCGGCTTTCATTAACGTTGTCGTATTTAGTTTTATAGTTTCAACGTCTTCGCTTAACAGTACCAGATCATCAGCATAGCCCAGCACGGATGTTGTCCCGCCCAGATCCAACCCTTTCTCGGTTCGCATTACCTCCCTAATGGCATGTTCTAATGCCAAATTGAACAGGACAGGCGAAAGAGAATCCCCCTGTTTTAAGCCCGAACGAACCTCAAATTTTTCGGACAAATTATTACCGATTCTAACTTTATTGAGTGTCTCCGTCAAGCACATCCTGACTAGATTTACTAGTTTTTTTGGAATCCCCTGCTCGATTAGAATATTATACAGTTTCTGGCGGTCAATAGAATCGTAAGCCTTTTTAAAATCTATATACAGCTGGTGAACAATACCGTTATACTCCAATTTTTTCTCTAATATTTGCCGTAAAGAAAATATTTGATCAATAGTCGAACGATTCCGTCTAAATCCGCATTGGTAGTCTCCGATAATTTCCTCGGCGTATTCCGTGATTCGACTGGTTAAGATTAAAGTGAATATTTTATAACATACCGGAAGGAGTGAAATTCCTCGATAGTTATTACAATCCGTCCTCGGACCCTTTTTGTGAATCGGAATAAGAATAGATTCTTTCCATTCTTCAGGTAATTTCTCGTTCACCCAGATCTTTTTAACCAACCGATGTATTTTAGAAACTCCAGCTTCCCCGCATGCCTTAATTAGTTCAGTAGGAATATTATCGATTCCCGCTGCTTTATATGATTTTAATTTTCCGATAGCTACTTCAACTTCCTCTTTACTTGGTCCTTCTATTAACGGTTCAGCACTCTGGTACTCAGAAGGAGGACACAGATCATAATTTCCCGTATTTAAAATATTGTCAAAGTGGTCCTTAAACTTATTCAATATGTCAACCGGATCGGTCAGAATATTGTTATTATCATCCCTAATTCCAGACGTTACGGGCCCTACATATTTACGTGATCTGTTTATACCTTTGTACATGTCTCTTACGTTATTTTCGATTCTATTAGTTTCTATTTCAATTATTTTATTTTTAAGATACTCCCTTTTTTTATTTTTGAGCAATTTTGTCGTTTCGTTCTTTGAGATTCGGAAGTATTCCAGATTGTCTTCGCTAGGATTATTTAGAGCTTTTAATTTAGCGGCTTTTCTTTTTTCACACATGTTTAAGCAATCTTCATCAAACCACGGTTTGTTATTCTTATTTTCCTTTTTTCCTAGACACGAGTTACCGACCGCTTTAATATTATCCCTGATCTCTACCCATAACTTGTCAATATCCTCGTGGTCCTCGTCAGGAAGCTCTAAAGCTTCAAACCTATTCTTAACATCTAGCTCGAATTGGTTTCTAATTGATGGATTTTTTAATTTTTCCAAATTAAAATTCTCAAAATCGAAATGGTTTTCTTTTCTCTTTTTTATATTAAGTTTTTGTCGAAGTTTCGCGATTACTAATTCATGATCCGACCCACATTCTGCTCCGCGATAAGACCGTACATTGATTATACTGCTTTGCCAGCTGTGTTGTATCAAGACATGATCGATTTGATTTCGTGTTTGCGAATCCGGTGATGTCCAAGTATATTTATGAATATCCTTATGTTTAAACGTCGTACTTTTAATTATCAGGTTTTTCGAGATGGCAAAGTTTATCAGACGGATCCCATTATCATTACTATATTCGTGCAAACTTTCTTTACCAATCGTCGGAATATAAACTTCTTCCCTTCCTACCTTTGCGTTCGCGTCACCTACAATTATTTTCATGTAGTTTCGCGGTAGTTTATCATAAACCCATTCGAGTTTATCGTAAAATTCACTTTTGACTTCATCGTCACTGTCTTCGGTCGGACAATGTATGTTTATTAATGCGATTTTAAACCAACGTCTCTGAAATATAGCTACCGAAATTCTATCACTAAAGAATTGTACGTCACTCAAAGCGGATAGTAATCTACTCCTAATTAGAAACCCGGTACCTAAACAATGATTACCGCTTCCTCCGTACCAAATAGTGTACTTTCCTTCCCTCATCGAGCCCTCCCCTGGCCAGCGAACCTCTTGCAGAGCCACGACATCCAAATTGTACCCATTTACCTCATTCGCGACCGATTTTAGCCCCCCTGCTGTGTTTAAACTCCTTACGTTCCACGTACCAATATTTAAATCCCTATATTTCAACTTGTGCCATGAATCCCCTAAAGCAGTCCCCACCCGGAGACCCGAACGGGGGACTAGTTTACCTCCGGATAATGAGCGTTTTACCTTAGGGAGATCCATGACTTTTTGTGGTGTTTAAGGGTATATGATTGAATAATCATATACCCTTGAAAATTCAATTTTTTTTTTTTTGTTTAAGGCTTTAAGACTTGTAAAAGCAAGTCCTATTTTGCCAGCAAAATATTTTGTTTGTCATAGTGAGATGAAATTACGGTTTTTAGACGGAAATTACACTGGATTTATATTAATTATTTATAGTTAGATGATAACTGAAAGTGACTTATATGGAACTTGGATATTAGATATTAGATATTATGGAAACTAGCAAGACTAATGGTTAAAAACTGAGATGAATTAGAATTTCAATTAACTGAGAATAAGTGCCGACTTTTATTAGATGACTGCTTTGATGTCATTCATGAACTTTAACAAGTCACGGGCATTATCTTTGTTCATTGACCGAAGAAAGTTAGCTCCATCATCCATAGTTTGCGACCCTAAACTAATTCTTCTTCGCTTCTCGAACCTTTTGCACTTGAAGGCAATGTGTCTTGGATCCTCCAAGCATTGGCATGTTGGGCAGTGACCGCTCTTAGCTAGACCCATTAGATGAAGATATTTATTTGTTCTACCGTGGTTTATCCTAAGCCTGGTCAGCTTTACTAAGCTGGAGCGGTTGAGATGAGATTTAAGGGTCGCAAACCATGGAATCAGTGCTATCTTCTGTTGAACTGCATGATGGTCCTTACCCTTTGAGGCACATTCCCAGTCGTAGAAATGCTGCCAGTCTTTCATTATTTTCTCCCTCACTACTCTTATCAAATCCAGTAAAGGGACCTTCCCGTTTATTCGATGTAGTTGGTTTTGATTTGCCGTTTTGTCTGGCATTTCATTTCCTGATATTCCTACGTGTCCCAGCACCCACTGGAAAAAGTAATTGTTGCTGGTGTTGTATATTAGTGATATAATTTTAAAGGAAATGTGTGTCAGTGCTTTATTTTGGTAGATTAATTTTAGGTGTTTACATGCTGTTGCTGAGTCTATCAGATTAACTATTTTTTGGTTGATATATGTGTTTTTGCTGTATATTATGGCGTTAAGAATGGCATATAGTTCGGCGCTGAGAATACTGAAATCAACTGGTATTGATAGTGAAAATTTCTGGTTCTTTTGGGGATCATACACAGCTACAGAAGTTCGGTTACTTGTTTTTGATGCGTCTGTATAAATTTGTAGATAATATGGGTAGTGGTCCGTAATTGTGTTTAGTGCTAATTGTTTCAAATAAATTGGTGGGTATGAACTTTTCTTCTCTAATTTACCAGCTAGATTAGAGGAGCTGTGAATATTAATTAAAGATTTGGGAATGGGCGTTGTGTATTCTAGAGGAGCTTCCGAAATGTGTAGTGATTTCATAAGAGGCTGTAATTCGTTAATAATGAAGGATAGTTGGGGACAGAACACGTTTCCACTTCTAATTTCTTTACCTACAGGATGATTATTGTCGGAATACACTTTGAGGATGTATTTTTTCGTTAACCATGACCTTCTGATGTGTAATGGCATCTCTCCGGCTGAGACCTGAAGCGCGTTTACTGGAGAAGTTTTAAAAGCACCCAAACATAACCTTATGGCACAGTTTTGTGTTGTATTCAACTTATTAATGAGGGGGGATTTAGTTTGATTGTATACGACACAGCAATAATCAAAATTAGATCTTACTATTGTTTTGTAGAGAGTGAGCATGTTTTGTGGGTGAGAACCCCACGATACTCCAGCTAAAGATTTTAGTATGTTTAAGTTTTGCAGCGACTGTGTGTGAATATTTTTTATATGCGTTTTGAAATTTAATTTAGTGTCTAATGTTAGGCCTAAAAACTTTAAGTGTTCTTCGCTTTTAACTGTGTATTTTTCATTTGAAATCTCAAAATCTTTGAAGTTAATTGTTCTTTTTCTAGTAAAAGGAGTAATGCTGCATTTGTTAGGATTAATTTTTAGGTCTATTATTGAAAATGCTTGTGTTAGGTTGTCCAGTGCTGAGCTGATTATGTCTTTCCCTTCTGCAGATTTCGCTACAGTATAAATTAAAAAGTCATATGCAAATTGAATGATTTTACACTTGTCAATTGTATTGTTGGTGATGTGTTCCGTGTAAAGATTGAAGAGGGTTGGACTCAAAGTATCTCCTTGAGGGAGACCACTGTATGTTTCATAAGATACTCGACCTTCCCAAGTATCCAGAAAATATGTTCGAATAAATTTGAAAACAATTTATACGTGATGTTTGTACTTGAATGAACATTGGTATATGTTCCCTTTTTTGAAATTAACCACTTTTTCAAGATGGGAAATTTTTTAAAACCCCTTTCAAGTTTTATTCCTGATACGAATCAAAATAACAATATGTGTGGGCTTATGCCTTATTTGATTGCCTTATTTGATTGCCTGATTTTATGGTATTTATCTTAAAACTTTTTTATTTTATTGTGACTTTTCTATTAATTTTTTCTTTGGTTACTTATTTTCTTTGGGGATTAGTGCATCATTAACCAACTTCCAAAGAAATTCTTCTTCTAGTCATACAACCAATTTTGCTATTGAATATTTCGTTGGCAGTAGTTTAATACATTAACAATATATTTTTTTTATTTACTATGTACTTTGTTGAAGGTCGATGATAATGTTACCAGAAATTTGAAGAAGGAATTAAATAGATCTGATTGGGACATGATGATTTTGCACTATCTTGGTTTAGATCATATTGGACACGTAGAAGGCCCAAAAAGTACACACATCAAACCTAAATTAAATGAAATGGACAATATAATATCTCTGATTTTTAAAGATTTTATTTTAAAAGTAAGTACAAGTTTTTTATTATTAGTTATTTATTTATACATTCATAAATTTGTGAATAATATTATAAGGATGATTTATTAAACAGAGGTTGATTGTGAATAGTAGCTGCTTCAGTATGATTTTCTAAAACAATGCATTTCGCCAATAGAGGAAAAACTAAATGAATACTTACCTTACCTGATAAATGATTTTTCAGATATATCGGTGATTCTTGACCCTCGATTAAACAATAATTATTTTTCACAGAGTGGTAACATGGAGCCCTTGGTAAAAAAAAAAAAAAAAAAAAACATTTCTGGAAATATTCTAAAGCAATTGAGGCGAAACCTAAAAATGAAGATACCAACATTTTTAAAAAACTTTACCTTTTTCCACTATATACAAATCAAGCGCGCAAGGAAATAATGATATTGAATGTTACACTTGATTGCGGTAAGAGTACGAGGAAACGGAAGCTATTTTTTGGTGGAAAAATAATAAAATTCTGCCTCATTTGAGAAATATGGCATTCGATATATTGTCAATACCAGCAACAAGTGCTCCAAGTGAACAGGCCTTTTTCAAATCTGGAAACTTTATCACAAAGAAAAGAAATAGATTAGGAAAAAATACTATCAGAGCTATGTTAAAAGTGTATAAAAGTCTTATTATTTTGTTGTTGATTTTTTGAGAAATAAATGTTTTTTCTTTACATGTACTTTTTAATGTTTATTCTAAGCAGTTGGTAAGAATCTTGTGGAAATGACAGCTCTGTGTAAATCTGCTAGTGTTATAATAAGGTTATGCTTGTACTGTAAACAGAATGCGAATTCTCGTGTTGAATTGATGGAGTAGCAGTTTGATTGACTTTTAATGCCGAAGTGAAATAAATGAGTTAAGAGATTCTGAAGTATTAGATTTAAATGCCTTAATACAAAGCATAAACGAACATATAGTGTAAATTTTCTTTTCGGATCTGTTAATTATGACAATGGACCCACCAACAAAAATCGTGATTATTAATTAAGTTAATGATTGTAATCAGTTTAAATAACAAAACACAATCTTATTTCTAATTCATTAAATTATACTGGATAAAAGTATGTTTCTATTTAAGTTATTATTTTGAGTAGTTTACTTCTTTTTGTTTATATACATTTACTTTTAATATTATTTTTCTGTGTTAATTTATTTTTATTTATTATAAATAGAGTGTGAATGTGCTCTCTGAACACCATTATATATGTCCTTAATTGAGACAGATAGTAATATTACATAATACTCATGAAATGATGAACATTTACCTTGCTAAGAATATGCAGTTCCGATTTTCAGTATTTGAGTTATATTAACCCATATGCAAAAACACTTCAATTAACCAACTTCAGCCGACTTTACCTGAGCGTTACATATCGGAGATCTGATGGCTCATTCTAATTCACTCTCCACAAAAAAAGTGCGAAACGTGCCTAAAGAGTTTTTACTTCAAAAATTGTGTTCATTTATAATATAATTAATCATTGACTAGACTATTTGTCTTGTCTTCAGTAACTAGACTATGCTAGACTATATTTATTTAGTTATTGCTTTCTATTCAACAAAAAACATTACTTGCATAAAAAAATACAGATCTTAAATTTCCTAATTTTCTGCTGGAAATTGGCCAATTGTATATATGAACTTTTTTGTAGATCTTGATGTCTACTATTGCTTTGACTAGCCTCCTTTTTTATTTTGATGGGGAGAAAGCGATAAGGAATTCTGGAATCCAACTCCAATCAACAGTGTTTAACAGTACAGTCTTAGCTTCTGGGATACACAGATGATTTTGATATTGCTGCCAGATCGGAACGGGCCCTACGAGAACCATTCCTGGCTCTGGAAAATGCTTCTAGGGATCTCGGCCTAGTTGCTAATGAGGCCAAGACGAAATACATGCAGATTGGAGGAGCCAAACTTTCAGAAGATAAGCAGCTTCACCTATTTGGGTTCGGAAATCAACTCAGAGCCCAATTGAAAGAGGTATAAAACTGTAGAGAATTTTAAATACCTAGGATCAGTATTTAATAGAGAAGGCACATCCACCAATGATATCGATAAAAAGAAAAGGTTATGCTGGCTTGGACATGTGAAAAGAATGACGCCTGAAAGATTGCCAAAGATATGTATGGAGCTGGAAGTAGAAGGGAGAAGAAAAAAGGGAAGTCCAAGAGTAAGACGCAGTGGAAGAAAGCCTGGTAGGTCGTGACATAGAAGAAAAAGCCTTATATAGAGAAGAATGGGAAAATATCTTAAAGAATATTTAGGTCAAGGACAACAGCAGTAGTGGAAAAGTCCTTTAAAAAAAATAAAAAATCAACTCCCAAAATGACATTACCCAGGAAGTAAACAGAAAGATTGCAGCAGCTAACCGTTGCTACTTTGGCCTTATCAAACATTTTAGAAGCAGATTGCTCTCTAACCGGACCAAGATCAAGCTCTATAAGACCCTGGTCTGCCCAGTCGTCACTTATAGCTTAGAGGCTTGGACATTCATGAGTCCAGGTTTCTTAGACGGATTTTCGGCCCTGTTAAACAGGACAACGTATGGAGAAGAAGGAGGAATGCCAAACTAACGAGACTCTACAACAATATGATGATGAGATAGTCAAGTTCAGGTGAAGCTCAGACGACTTTGATGGGCATGACATGTGCAAAGGATGGCCACCAATGAGATTCCAAAAATGTTCCTTACCAAAAAGCTCTACAGGAATGGGCGAGTTGGGCGACGAACGTGCGATGGATGAACTCGGTTTCTGCGGAGGCACAGGCCCTTCTTGGAGTCTAAAACAGGAGAGCTGCAGCAAACGGCCGAACAAACTGGTGGAGACTTTTGGAGGAGAACCTGTCTTCGTGACAAGATGTAGCGCCACTTATGCATGTATGATGTCTACTATCAACCTTTGAAATATTCCCTCTATGAACAGGAAACCCTGTATATTTTTTAAACTTATTTATCGAGTAATGAGCTATTATTCAAAATTTTATCTTAACGCGAAGCCGTGTTAGGGAGCCAAAAAGGAAAAAATAGTGTCGAAAACCAAATGATAACGAGTTTTATGGAAGACATTGATTAACATTTATTTAATGTATAAAATATTTCAATAGATTATGAATATGATCATGTATATGACAAAAATAACAGAGAAAGGACATACCTTGGGTTTAGAATAAATCTGCAACTGATAGCTTCCAAATAGTTAGAATGTGGAACGACCGCACTGAATCAGCTACAGGGGCCTAATGAATGCAACAAACAAGCCACAAGTCAAATGGTGAAGGCGGGACTTGCCTCTACCTCTTTAAGTGGCAACAGCCAAAGCTGGAAGACTTGTATCCTGGCCGCACCAGTGACCCAACTCCTAACAGGAAGGGATATATCCCGTCCGCAGCCAAAGGATTAAACAGGGTGTCCTGTCAGTAGAGGGAGATTCAAGGTTTGTACATGCCTGGGATGTTATAGCAACTTTTTTTTTCAAAATCGGCTAACTGGAAGTGCCACTTTATATTGTTGATTTTACACATTCTTGCAATTTTCTTGAACACGGCTCCAACGATTTTGATTAAATTCATTATATCAGTGTAAAATTAACCACTCAAAAGTCCTTTTAAACTAATTTTAACAATGACAAACTCTAATTGCATCTGAAGTAAATTTTTTCTAATTTTCAGTGAAGCAATTGTTAATTATTTAAATTAATTATTTCTTTATATATTTACACACTTCTTTTTTAAGAATTCGATTCCTCCATCACACAAAAGTGAATTTCATAATATTATATTTATTTATTGCAGATTAAATGTTGATTTGGTCATTAATGTTAGTTTGTTTAATATTTTAAAATTGGTTCTATTTCTTTAATAGAGTAACTTAAAGTTACTCCGGGGAATTCAAGTATATTTTTTATTACATTTTGCATTTTTTTTTCCTTGTAGGGCACAAATAAAAATGATTTGAGCAATATTTTAATTGTCTGTGGCGACCATGGTATACATGATTCTGGAGGTCATGGAGGAAGTTCGTTGGCTGAAGTCCTAGTGCCTTTTTTCCTGATTAATCACGATTGCAACACTGATATGAGGTAATTTCTTGGTTGTTTTTCTACTAATTTGTATCAGTGTTTTCTAATTTTAAATATAATATGAAACTTCTGTGATGGACATCTATGGAAACTATTTCTTTGCTCATTGTAGATAGGTCCTTTAGGGAGTATTCATAGCAAAGAAATCAGTTTAAAGAATAAAGTCTTGTTAATAAATATTGTTAGCTTATTTGTATATAAAACTTATTTTCTAATAGAACCAAACATATAAACCGATCAATGAAAATATTGTTACTATAAGTATATATTATTGATATTGTTTTTATTGCTTTGATTTGTTTTGTTTTTTTTATAATTATCCTTTCCTATTTAATGCATATCATTTCACTGATGAAGTGTTAACATTTTATCTAATCTTTTAAAGTAGAATTGTTTTGCTGAATAAACTATCTTCTCTGGAAGTAAATTTTCTGAAAACTTGTTGTGGAAACTGTTTCTTATTGGATGTCTATAATAAGCATGCTTATTTTTACTTTCACTTACCTATAAATGTAATATTTAGTAAGGGTAAATATTGCGATCGTGAAAATTTTTGAATCTGAGTTTTCAACGGAATTACACATTTTGAGGTCTCCTGAGTCCAAGTAACCAAGACCCACAAAATGGTCTGTGTGTCAGTGTGTGTGTATGTATGTGAACAGCCTAGCTTAAAAACGAAAAGTCGTATGAAACTGAAATTACGTATTTAAGGTTTTTATATGCCTGGGATGTTACATAAACATTTTTTTCAAAATCGGCAAACCGGAAATGGACCTTTATATCATCAATTTAATAAATGTTTACAATTTTCTCTAAAACGGTTCTTACGATTATATTAAACTCATTATGCTAATGTACGATTAAATGTTTTTAATATAAGGTATGTTTTATCCTCATTGATGCTCTCCAAGAGGGCGTAAATGTCAATTTTTCAAATATGTGTTCCTCTGAAGTATGTTTAATTTTGTTTGTTTTAAAAAATTAACTAACTCACAATTCAGATAATGAATAAAAATGGTTAAATATAATCTGTGAAAAAAAAATTGATCAGAAGCTAAAGGAGAAATAAGAGATGGTACCGAGGGATCGAGAATTGAAACTCGAGCTTGCTCGGGGTAATATGGTGATAATGAGGAGCCGAAAACTGTTGAGGAAACCCGAGCGCGCCTTTAAGTTTGGTGTAGGGATTCTGATCATATTGTTTACTTATACATGTATGGTTTTCATAAATACTAGTGCTGGTATTATTTAATATTTAAATGTATAGATTACAGCAATATAAAAATTAAAATCTTTATATATAACAGTGTTTAAACAAAAAATATGTATGAATATCTGATGTCCTTACTGACACTCTTGTCGGACTAAACAGAATTCATGGCACTTAATTATTTATAATAAAATAAAATAATTAAAATATGCATTCCTAAAAGAAAATGGTTAGTGATGAAAAATGCATGAATTATATATTGTAAGGTTATGTTTCCTTTGAAAAGTAAACAAAACAGTTTCTGAATCAAATTATATTTATTTTAAACTATAATTATTTCTCAGGTTGGGTTGAGACAACAAACACACATTCCTCAATTATAAATATTAAATCATACATTAATTGTACATAACATTAATAACATGTAATGTAATGGATCAGGTAGTTTTTTGTTTTAAATCTACTGGATTTCCTATCTAACTGAAAGATACTTCAAAGTAAATCACAATAATACTTATTCATCCCTCTTTTCCCAGTCCGCTGGTGTTCCTCAAGGTAGTATCCTTGGTCCTATCCTTTACACAGTTTATACAACTGACATCCCAACCCATCCTAACACTGTTATTACCACTTATGCCGATGATACATGTGTCCTATTTGTTAATAATGACCCAACCATTGCATCCCAAACTCTTCAATCACACATTACGAGCCTTGAAGAATGGTGTCGAAACTGGAGGATTAAAATAAATTCTAATAAATCCCATCAAATCACCTTTACCCTTCGACGTAAACCTATGAACATGATGACCTCATGTTCCACAGTATCCTTTAATAATACCCCACTTATCCCTGTTGAACAAATCCGATACCTTGGACAAATGTCTAACTTGGAATCCTCATACCAGACCGAAACGACAAGAAACCGCTCGACGTTTCTGACTACTACTACACTTACTAGAGAAACGCTCTAACCTTCCAGTTAATTATAAAAGACTCATATACATGACTACAATAAGACCTATTTGAACTTACGGAGTTGAGCTTTGGGGCTCCACTAAGCCATCAAATTCCTCTCGTATCCAATCCTTACAATCCAAAATCCTTCGGAAAATCCTCAATGCTCCTTCTTTTTCACCAATAAAATAATCCCATAATGACCTTAATGTTCCATATGTTTCCGATTTGGCCCAATTCAGATACCAATCCTTCCATAATAAACTTCAGAACCATCCGAATCCTCTCGTCTCTAACCTTGCTTCCTCTTCTATCTCTGATAATCCTCCTAGGCATCTGAAAAGAAGATGGCCTCGAGATCTCTCATTGTAAATACATTTTGTTTTTAGAGTGCTACCAGTGGCTAGGTTCTCAACAAGTGATTTCATGTTATTATTTTCTGTTATCGAATATACTAAATGTATTTTATTTATTAATGCAGTTGTAAATATCATGAATAAATAAAAAAAAAAATCTACTGGATGATTGGAAGTATGTATAAAAATAACAGTACCTGATTGCCATATGGAATACATTTCACGATTAATTTGATAGTATTTTGAGTATGGTAAATAGCAACTTTACACTCTACACCACATTGCTCGTGCAAAGCATTGGTAAAGGAATCCGATTACGAGATAGTTAAATAGCATTCAAGTAGGTGAAAGAATGTGTGTCAACTTGTATTTATAAAATACTCAATAAATACATAATCAGTGACTTTTATCACCAGTATCTCATCCTTTGATACTAGTACACATTCCAGATGAAAACTTACAAAGTAGGTCAAAACATAGGCACAAATAAATATGCAAGATGTGTTAAAAAAGTAATGAGAATTATCTTTTGTTGAAAAAAAAATATTCATCTACAACAATGTTGTCACCTTCAAAGCCCCCATTAGCTATTATATACTTATGCCAAATCCTTTTTCAGTCCCTAAAGAACTCAATCTTTGGGATAGGATTTAGCTCCCTTAGTAGTGTGCTTTTAATCTCATCTCTGTTTGCTAAACAATGTTGTTTTAAGGTTTCTTTTATTTTTGAACAGAAGAAAAGTGTACATTGGAGCCATACTAAGAAACAATAATATTGCTATAATAAACAATCATTACAGTCTTCTTTTTTGCCAAAAATTCACAAACAAATAATGATGTGTGTGGCCCAAATTTTGCTGTCACACTTTTCATTTATTATTAATATGATGATAATATTATTAATATGACATGTCTGTTGGTATTCATGAAAGTCATATATTGCATTCAATATTTGTCCTGAATAAAAATGACTCAACTAGAAAATCTAGACAGCTACACTATGTGGCATTGTGTAACCTTTAGCCTTTATATACAATTTTTATTACATGGAGTTTTTAAAATGGGCATATCACATTTCTAAAATGTAGACTGAGTCACTTGAAATGTTATAATCAATGCTACAGTGGTATCTTCAAATACTCATTGTTCTCTGATTTTTGCTTGTTAATGTTGTTTATTTGCTGAATTTTTAATGAGAGTATATAGAATCAAATGAAACTCTGACATTTTGAATGTAGCTCTTATGCTTTGAAATTAATATTAAGTATTTTTCCTTGACAATCAATAGGTTTTTGACCCTTTCTGAAAGTTTTAACTCTTTAAGAGCAACTTTTCATTTTATTATTTTTACGTTACAGAAACCACCCTTCGTTTTCAGAAACCATATTTTTCTTTCATATTGACTTAAAAAACGTAAGAATACACTGCCATTTTAATGATTTTTTTTTCTAAAATAATATTTTAATTTTTCACGGATTCACATCTTGATAGCTAAAACTGGTTCATTTAACTGGGTATAACCACAGGGTGGCAACCAACCTGGAAAAATGGGAAAAGTCATGGAATTTTCAGTAACGGGAAAAGTCATGGAGAAATAATGAAAAAAATTTTAAAGTCAGGGAATTTTTTTAGTTAGTAAATATCTTTTTCAAATTGGAATTAATATGCAATGGATGTTGTTTATAACAATCTTAAGGGACCTGGTAAACTTTGTTGTTATAAGTGTATAATTTTTATAACGACGACGGTCGCTATATCTATTTACCTGTGGCTGTCAATATGGCCCTGGCCATTATATTGGAATTAAACAAGGGTAATGAACAAAATATAAGCAAAATGGAGTTAAAACAGTGCTTTTTAAAAAATAAAATAAAAAAATACCAATACTATTTACTATCTGTAATGTATACATCTATGGACATATTTATTTTTTATATAAGGCAATGAACTACTTAATGGTAATTCTGTCTCAAGGGGAACACCCATTAGAACAATAGTCAACCTTAAAATGCTAATTCCGATTGGGCTTCAACTCGTTAAAAACTTGCATTTCACCGCATTGATTATGTCAGTGTCATGATAATTCTCACGAACTGGCGGCTAAACTTTCGAAAACCATTCGTTGTTAACTGAGAATGCTGGCAGCTTACAGTTAAATTTTTTAAAACAATATTACATTGAAAGAAAAATCTTTTTAACCATTCTCACGAAATACTAATTTAAGATTCATCTAAAGGATCGTGAATTGATTTTAAATATTCGTTAGTGTTTTTGAGTAAAATCTGACTTAATACTGATATGGACTAGGAGCTACCGACCACTTCATTTTAAGGAAGGACTTAAAGCTAGTAACCATTTTAAATTCTAGATAAATATCATCTGAACAGACAACTTTAGTCAGTCGGTCGAAAGCCGTTGCTCTCTATATGAAAATTTAAATTAAAGAGGCGAAATTTGACGGTTCATTTAACGGAAGAACTGACGGCTGAAATTTTGGTAAAGAATATGTCCCTAAAAGAGAATTCACCTTGACTGAAGATGTACTGAGTTGCATTTTGAAAACTGACGACGTAAAAGTTATCAAATTGGGCCAGTTGGATGAGAAAAAAAGTCAAATAGTCGGTTTCTCTTCGTTTTTTTAAGTTTTTTTAAATTCTGAATCTGAATTTTATGTTCCCGTAGGAAATTTTATTTAACGTTAAAGAAGATAAAATTTACTATAAATTTTATAAATAGCTTTTTACCATGAGGAGTTAAAAAATTTTGACTGCTCATTTCACAAGAAATATCTCTTTCCGTCGGTTTTTCCCCAAAACTCGTAATATATGCTTCTCTCAAAGAAATTCAATATAATCAATTTGAAAGAGCATTAAATTCTCTATGTACCTTATGTAGACAGGTTAATTGTGAGAAGATTAAGCGGCTGTTAAAGCTCTTAGAATCAAATGCTTATTTCACTTGTAGTATCTGCCGCTCTCAACGTAAGTGCTTTTTATCTTTTCAATGCTTTTGATCCGGCTAATTTAACTATATTCATACTGTTACTGGTACAGGTGGGGGAACTTAGTCCAGCAAGTGGGCCTATTGTTCCTTTTTGCCAACCCAAAAATTTGATACTACCATTGGTTGTCTATTGTACCTCTATTCTGTCTCAAACCTTTTTGTTCTTCTAATGAAGTTCAAAAGATTCGACCATTTAATGGAGGCAGCTTTGCATACTTGGATTCTGTCTGCTCCCAGAAGTCTGTATCTAAGTGATGCAAATCGATCACATTCCGTTATGAAGTGAAGGGCAGTTTCAGGTGCATTTCTGCAGAAATTACAGAGTTCATCATCCACTATCCCACAGATCTTTAAATGTCTTTAAAGTCTGCAGTGACCTGTTAGTACTCCGATGATGAGTCGGATTTCTTTCCTAGTTAGGCCCAGCAGCCACTTTAACTATGTTCATAACTGAACTAGAATGTATAAACAAATTACATAGCTTTTATATGTTCTGTTAGTATGAGAGACATCAAAATTAATAATAATCAAAAACGTAAGAACCGAAATGCGCTTCAAAGTCTGACCGTTCTAATAAATTTTCAACTTTCCGGTTATTAACGATTATACCCGAGCTCATTAAAAAATTTGATGCCCTACCAATTTAATGCAAGTTTATGTAGAGTCGTAATATGCGAGTAGACGAAATGTCATTGGACCGCTCGGACTTTCAAACGCATTTTGGTCCTTATTTTTTTTTTTGTTAATTGTATTACATATTGCAGTCTCTCATGCCAACAGAATATATAAAAGCTATGTAATTTGTTTATACATTCTAGATCTGTTATAAACTTTTTTTTTTTTTTATATATAAGATATAACACATTCATACCATATATACAGAAAATATAAAATTAACAAAAGTAAAATAATAATCAAAAACTATGTACAACAAACATAAAACTATCTAAAGATAAATAATTTAAAAAAAACAGTCATACCTATATACATGTTATAAACTAGTTAAATTAGCTGAATATAAGGCATTGAAAAGATAAAAAATGCTTAAGTTGAGAGCGGCAGAATACAAGGGAAATGCACATTCGATTCTATGAGCTTTAATAACCGCTTAATCTTCTCACATATTAATGTGTCTACATAAGGTACGTAGGAAATTTAATGCTCTTCTTTCAAGTTGATTATATTGAATTTCTTCGAGAGAAGCATATATTATGAGTTTTGAAGAATAACCGATGAAAAGAGATATTTCTTGTGAAATAAGCAAACAGACAAAAAATTTTAACTTCTCATGGTGGGTGGCCCTACATCAAAAAGCTATTTATAAACTGATAGTAAATTTTATCTTCTTTTATGTTTTATATAATAATAATTTCGATAAAATTCATAGTTTCGGAGTCATGTCTAAAAATGTCCAGTATGTTGTAGTCCCTAATAACCCCCCATCAGAATCTCTATCCTTGTCCAGAGGTGTCCCACAAAGCTCCTCCTTATCTCCCACCCTTTTTTTTTACATCTACATCAATGACCTCTCATATTCTATCTAACAATGTCAATGCCATCTGTATGCTGACGACTTCCAGATTTACCTCTTCTTTAATTCGACCAAATCCTCTGGTGCCATCCAAAAACTACAGGGAGATATAAACGGAATTTGTGCTTGGGCAAACCACAGCAGGATAACTCTAATCGCCAAGAAGACGAAAGCCATCCTGATCGGATCTCCCTCACTATAGGAGACTTTATTCCCAGAATAAAATTTTTTTTTTTTCATTTCAATTCATTGGCTGGCAAGCACTCGTTCGTCCGATCCTTGGTGCTCCTTAAAAGAGCATATAATAACCCGAATATTTAGTTTTTTTAACTCTTAATTTTTTTTGTGTGTGTCCACCCCTTCTACGCCATTGAGGCTGTACGGGGCTTTGCCTGAATGAAAGGTGGGGGAGTTAAAAACCCTAATGGGTGGAGATCCAAAGACCTAACAATTTGAGGTTTGACTGTGGTATTCATTCCGCCAAAACTAAACTGGCTACCAAGAGCCGTTACAATAACAGTTATTTTTTAGCTTTGATCAGTATATGTTTTTTAGCTAAGATCAGTCCCCATTAAACTTTATTAATAAAAATTATTTCCAATGAATTTGCATATTTCAATTTACAATTTAAGTATTTTATAATACAACAATAAGAAATAAAAGATACAATTTTTGGTATGTTGCACGGGCGAGCTTGTAGAGCGCTGCCTGGTAGCGGGAAGGCGAAGTCGTTGTTCCTTGTAATAAGAGCGGGAATCTGGTGCCGTTACAAGCTTATAGCATTCTATGAATGTCAGTAGTCAGTAGTACCACAATATGTGATTTCTTTCTAAACGTATTGGTAAACAATTTATGAGTTCGTTAAACTTAATGCATAAAGATTTACTGATATATTATTTATTTTGATATACTTGATTTTCAGAAATGAAGAAACAAGTCAAACTGATATTACACCTCTCATTTCTGTTTTATTGGGTTTACCAATTCCTGCTGCTAATTTAGGTAAATTGGACTACAGATTACTAAAAAAAATGGAACCATTATCAAAATTATATACCATGTATTATTCAACTCATAACTTGAAGAAGACATTTGATGATTATCATTTTGATATTCATTCTTATCCAGGTAATTTTTAAAACATATTTTTATGATTATAAATGATTTAGAGTTAGACTTTCAAATTATTTTGTGTAATACATTAATTTCAACATCTTTCTATATTTCTTGTAGTTTTTAACCCTTTAAATATTCTGCCTGCATACATGCTAGCAGTGATATCTCTGCCTCCACAGCTCTGTCCTCATCAATATAGGTTATGTTCTGTCCCTTCCTAACAACAATCCTATGAAGGCATCACCTGTGGGATGAGACGCTTATGACTTTATTCTTCACCTACTCTTTGTTACTAAAAGTTTTCTAAAATTTTTGTTTTGTAGACTTTTTTTCATATTTAATCTCATATTTTTCCAGGCAGACATCTCATGGGTCACCTTGAGAAGTCTGTATACCTTTGCTATAACCATTACATGGTCAGTACCTTCGCAAAATGTTTATTTGCTTGTGGTGGTTAGTTGTTGAATGATAAAATAATTTAAGTTATTGTTTTATACCATGATCTTCCAGTTTTCTTGGCATGCCATATATCTGAATGTGTTCTACCATATAAATATGCCATACATGTTCTAAAGTGGGTATTGTGGGGATGCGGTATATCCCGGAACCAGCAACGCATTAATCTGTCCTTGATTAGATGGTTAAACACTCTATTATTAAGATTTCTTTTGAGTCTCATGTCAGTCATTATCAAGTTTTCCCTACAGTGTTTTTTTATGAATCGCATTTGTGACTATATCTTTTTTTATAACAATAATAATATTTTCATGAATTCTAAGAAAGCTTTATCATTATGCAAAAATACATAAATCTAAAGCTGAACACAATTTAAGACATAAATTGGGATAATTTATGGAAGAAATGTTTATTAGTTAGGTATTTATCAGAACAAATCTGGTAAATCTAAATGAAGTAGCACTAATTGTCTGTTAGAGTTGGTTACAGATAATCTTCACTATGTCCACTTGACAGAAGTACAAATATCATATTCTATATTGATTGGTTAATATTTGTTAAAAAGTCTATTAGAGACAGAAAAGGGTCTGTTTAGAGTTTTTTCCTCGCAACAAGTGACAAACATCTATCTCAAGCATACTGACCAATATCTCTCTTCCTAGTGGCTAGTAATGAACTGGAATATCTCATAGTTACAACTGAGGTTTCCAAGCTGTGAGTAATCTGTGGTAGTATGGCACAATAGATGCATTGATGTACGAAGGTAGGTAAATAGAGCATGTTTAATTAAGAGAAAGTGAATGAGGGTGAGGCTAAGGCAAGATGTTTTCAAGTATCAGGTGGATGAGCACCCAAATCACTTTCGGTCTGTGAGCTAAGGGATGAGTTTTAAGACATCACTGGATGGATCCTACAAATGAAGGGATGAACCTCCAAACTTTGTGGGAGAAAAAATACTGACAGACAGATGAGCCGCCAGACTTTATATGTTGGAGTACAAGCAGATAGATGAGCATCCAGACCTTGTATGGAACGAGAGAAAAATTAGGGTTAAAGAAGCATATAGTGAAATAAAAGTCAGTTTGATGGAGAACCAAAAAGCGTATATAAAATATTCTGATTAATCTGTACCTGAACCTATGGCTATTACTTTGCAAAGGGAGGTGATACAAGATCTGAATTAGCAATGAGAACTGCTGATAATCATTCCGCCATGATTAAATTGGCTAGCAAGAGTCGTTACTGTTACTGTTTTAAGCTTTGATCAGTATATCTTATTACCATTAATCTTTATTATTAAAAAATATTTCGATAATATTGACTATCGATGGCCATCTTTAATTAGAGTTGAATAGTGCTTATGGGACCCTTCTCACTTAGTAAACTCAATTTGCCCAAATTTGTTTGTTAGAACCTTCTCAAAGCAAGGCCACGAATTGTCAAAGAAATATATATAGAATGCAAATAAATTAGCATTTCGCTTAATCCAATCTATGGGTGAATGGCCAGTATTTCTGACGGGAATACATGTGTTGGATATTCTTTTATTGGGCCTATGTTTGCTCTAGACTCTGGCTCCTGTACCATAAGCAATGACTGATTGTTATACATAACAATTATTGCTGTTATTTGGTCTGTATTTTCTTGTACTGTCAGTATTAACACAATACCCAATCTCTAAATAGTGTCAAGTATAAGGTAGGCTAGTTATTTAAGTGCCTACAGGTATACTTACCTCCTCTTCTATGATGTCTGGGATAAGGGCTACTGCACAAAATTAGTGATCTGAGTAGAACTCCTACCAAGTCGTTGTTGATGGTTTCTTCAAGCGAAGTACCTAAAACATTGATGAAATTCTTCTAGGAAGACATGTCTTCCTTGGATAAAGATAAATTGTTGATAAAATAGTTTGAGTTCATTTTGTTGGTACAAGATAGACTGCAGGTACTACACTCTCTCCCTGCTGCAGGCTAAGTACAATGGCCACCTAGTGCCCCAAGCGGGTCAATAAAAGACTATATTTTTTAGACCCCCTCTGACATTCAGTCATAGCTCAAGCGCCTTGCTTGGATGTCTAAAGGACCACCACTACTATGAAATGGATAAAAGTAGTGGACCCCGCCTCTATCGCCTGTTAGCCCCAATAGACTCTCTGGGAGGCTCTACATGAAGGTGACAGCAGATATTGGTAGGAATCGGGAGGGCTGAGAAATCAGAGGTAGGGCAGTAAGGCCTGATCATTCTGCAAAGAGTGGGGGAAACTCTCTCTCTAATCCTTCTGTTGCCCTACTGGTTTGGGAAAATAGTTATAAGTTCACGTCCAATGAGTTCACGGGGCCAAAGGATCTTTTAACGCTAGCATTAATCCTCCCGCCCTCACCCTCTGGCCAGGGAAAACCGTGTATATTCTAAAAGGCAAGGAAGGAGTGAAAATAAAAAATGAGGGCAGAAGAAAACCTGAGGAAATGGAGGACATTAACTCGAGAAGTGGAACAGGCAATGGACGACAATTTAGGAGGACTCAACCCTGAGGAAGTTCCCACTGTCGATTCCAGGCTGAAGGTGTAGTGGGTTCAATCTGACTTGTGGTTCTCACAAATCTTGATTGGGCACCCAGGGTTTAGAGATAAATTGAATAAGCATGGGAAAAATAAGGGAAGGAACATGCTGTGACTTGCAGATATGGCCCAATCCTTATGAGGGCTGGGATGTACAACCTTAGATTTCCCTGGACTGATGTGGAAGGATAACTTAGCCCCATTTCATAGAGTATGTGAGGAGTTGGAAGGAAGTGGTAGACCCTACATACTTCACTCTTTGGAGGGGATGTCTATCAGAAGAGGAGGAAGAGGTGGGTAGGGGATAATCAGCACCACAAAGATCCATAGATATGGAGGCACCAGAGGAGAATTAGGGATGGAGAAAAGAAGGCTAAGGATGTTTGATTGCCTCTGGACCTTATGAAGGACTGCAGAAGGTGGGCATTCGTGTACTAGACTGCTCCACAGTTTACCCTGTTCTATTATTCTCAAAATACTCATATCCTTTTGCATGCATATTATTAATAAAGAAAATTGAAATAAAGAGAGCTTTTGTTGGTGACAGAAGCTTGCGCAAATCCTATGTGCACTATCCTACTACTGCTGAAAAATCTGTGTGCCAGAAATGGCCAGGTAGAGGAGAAAAAAATATTAGAAGTTTCATTTTCGTATACATATAAAAATATGCTCACACTTTGTCCTCATATTGCTTCCTAATTTTCAGTTATATTTACAACTTCTTATTTTTGTTTTAGATATATTAAACAGTCTTCAAGAAGCAGACAATTTATTTGAACTAATAATTAAAAGTGGTTCTGACAGCATCATAGAAAACAAGTTACTATATCATTATTATGAAGCCCAGAAATTTATGTCTAGTAAAATGTCTGAACTGAACATTACTTTTGACTTCTATTTGATGTTCATTAGTTTAATATTACTTATACAGGTGCCTTTTGTTTATTTATGTTTCATTACCTATAACTTTTTTATCCATCATTAAATGTTTTTCTGACTTTATGTACACAATTATCTGTTTAGCTTGGATCTGTAATTATCTATTATCTTACATAATGACCTCAATGTTCCATATGTTGCCAATTTGGCCCAATACAGATACCTATCCTTTCATGATAAACTCCAGACCCATTACAACCCTCTAGTTTTTAACCTTACCCCCTCTTCGATTCCTGATAATAATAAATAATTTTCTTTGGCACCTGAAAAGAAGGTGGCTTTGTGACCTTTTAATATAGAGCTATTACACTGTTCTACATTGATATTGTATCTTACTTTAAAACAGCCTCATTGCATGTTTTTCGGTGTGTGAAATTCGAATTTCCATATAAAAATCATCAGTTAGCTCTGATTTCAAAGATATAGTTAATTTTTGCATAATATAAGGGAATTTCCTGCTCCTGGGTTGGTAGGATTGATTTCTGCCTTTGAAGCACAGGAAATGACTAGCTGCGAATCACAGAATCAAGTTACTCTTGACGTGATTTTTCCTACTTCAGGCATTCTTTCAACAATTTTTTTTTGATAGCCCAGTAGTTTTTGTGAAGTTACAATGCCCAGGAAGTGTGTGAATGCTCCTGACAACTTTTGTTACATTTGTGGAGAAGTAACCTTTTCAAGTCAAAAACGTCCTATCACCCAGTTGATCAAGACAGCATACCACAAGTATTTTAGGATGAATTTTGGTGACCAAGATAAATTGTGGACCTCATACATCTGCTGCATTACATGTGGCGTAACCTTCAGAGAATGGTTGAACAAGAAAGGTTGTTCGATGTGTTTTGCTGTTCCCATGGTGTGCAGGGATCCTACTAATCACACTGACAACTGCTTCTTTTGCATAACCCCTCCTCTTCATCATGGAATGTCTCGAAAAAATAAATCTGATTACAGTAATACCTGCTATAAAATAAAACCTGGTGTAAAGATTACAATGTACAGAAATCGTCAGAAAGACTTGATCCCCTATTTCAAAAAGTATGAGAACCTTGTTGCCTGTTATGATGTTCCATGTGTGATAATAGCATTAAATCTCATTCACAACCCTTCTGAATGGAGGCTGTTTATGGATTCATCAAAGCTATCTCTATGTTGCTTGATGTTATGCACTATGTTATGCATCCCTATGTTATGCAATGTGACAATTTACTTCCCTCTATTCCTATTGGCCATGCTTTCCACATGAAGGAAACTTACCAAAACATGGAAACCCTTCTAAAATCCATCAAATACCAGAACTACCAAAGGTAAATCTGTGGGGACCTGAAAGTAGTGGCAATTTTTCTAGGTATGCAACAGGGATATACCAAGTACTGTGAGTACAGTCAGGACAGAGCATCTCATTACATCAGAAAAGAATGGCCTCAAAGAGAAATCCTGACCCCTTTACAAAAAAATGTTATCTACTACTCTCTTGTGGACCCTGAAAAAATCATTTTGTCTCCACCACATATGAAGTTAGAGCTCATAAAATTTTTTTTCAAAGGAATGGACCAATCAGGAGAGACATTCAAGTACTTGAGAGGAAAATTTCTTCGCTTAAATGAAGTTAAGGTTAAAGAGGGTGTATCTGTTGATCCAGAAATCTGTGAGCTTCTTAATGACAATGAATTTTTTAATATTCTTCAGTCCAAACCCTCCTTAAAAAGTACAGAGATCTTGGTTTTAATATGTCACTCAAGATTCACTTTCTTCACTCTCATTTGGACTTCTTTCCCAAAAATTGTGGATCTGTAAGTGACCAACATGGTGAGTGATTTCACCAAGATATATCCTCGATGAAACAAAGATATCAAGTCGGTGGGATACATCAATGCTCGCAGACTACTGTGAAGGATTTGCCAGAACATCAGTACAATCGCCAAGCAAAGAAGAAACGTTCTAAATAAACTTTACAACAGCACTGTTCTTATAACTTATAAGATACTGGTATCAAATACTGGTCATATCTGTATCTGTATCGTATCTGTAGAATGGTAGCTAATATAAGAATTCAGTCAGAAAATTTGAGTTTCTCACACCAAAATTAGTCAAGAGAAACAGTTTTCATCGAAGATAAAAATACAAAAAAAAAAATTTTTTTGTGGTGCACTGTTATTGGAACTGCTAACAATGTTTAGTTCCTCTGCATGTCATTGTACCAATTCACATACAGTTGTTATATTTTTAGTTAATACAGTTATAACTTTTAATTAAATTTAATTGCAATTTATGTATGTATATACTATTCAAACAGAATATTTGATTTATTGATTAGGATGAATGATGTGTTCATCAATATTTTTTGATATATGAAAATGTAAAATTCTATGTGATTATTCTTCATGAAATAAGAAATAATCAATATCCAGAAGAAGGAAACGTGTTTTCTTTCAGTATAGTTTTTTGGCAAACAGTTTCAGTCTCTATCAAATAAAATAGAAAAAAATAATCAATAACTACACAAAATTTAAAAAGGAACAAATGAATAAGAAACTATAACATATATAGGTTGTTTTTTTTAACTTGAAGACTATTTATACAACTAGACTAGTGTGATACAAATTTTTGAAAAGTAATTTTACAGTGGAAAATTTTTTTTTACATAAAGTATGTTTTTGGATAATGTTGCCATGTTATTTTCTTTATGAAATAATTGAAATGCACATCTATCCTGTGCTGTTATGAATCTATAAAGGTCATGCTTCATTTCAAAGATCTTATTATAGTTGAGTTAAGAGCTTCAAGAATAAAAAATTCAATGTATGGAAATAGGAACATCCAGGGTAACCAAAAAAATTGTATGATATCGAAAAAGAGTTGTGACAGTCATATCATAGTATTGATTGCAATTACTTTGTTTAAATAAAAGAATCACAAATGAATAAAGTGAATAGTAGACTTTGGTTATTTTATATTTTTTTCAAAAATAAAATGAATAATAGATACAGGGGGAGATGTATATTTAGCATTTTTGGTTTTCAAATATGGAAGGCTCTGGTGAACATAAGTATGATGTCAGTATACCAGGACCCCAAAAATATTACCGGACTGTATAAACATAGATTAAAACCTTTTAAGTTTTATAATGCTGTTAAACAGGGAGCCATCCTCAGGCCACTCCTGTTTATCATTTTTTTGAATGAGATATAGAAGGTCTGAAAAAAGAGAAAACTGGAAGCAATGGATACATAAATAATCCCATGCCAATTCTTGTACAAGCATTAATATTTGAAGATGATGCAATATTAATAGCTGACAACCTGCAGAAAGTATAGGTTGCATTAAATGAATGGAGTGAAGTGTTCCAGTTGAGAGAAGTGATTATTAATGTTTATAAAAGCAAAGTTATACTGTTTGGATGGGATGATGATGAGGGCGTGGTAATCTGTAATGGGCTACTTCTTTAATTTTTAGTGCCTACGAGAACCCACAATTATAATTAGCAAATATGAAAAAAATAGATCATGAGGTACTTCATAGAATGAAAAGAGCCAATGAAGTATACTCTAAAATATACTCTGCAATCATAGTAATGAAGGTTATAATATCCTGCTATTTAAAACACCTTTCCTAACAGTTTTTTTGCTCTATGAAGGAGAGAATTGGACAGTCCTATTTGCCAAGTAAGCTAAGTGACGATAATAGAGATGAGGCATCAGGGGAAAAACCTGAATGGACCAATGAAAATATTGAGAGAACCTTGGGATTTCGATAGTGAAGCAGCTTCAACTGCGATGGTTTGGTCATTTGAGTAGAATGGGCTATGAAAGGAAGACCAAATAATTGATGATGGTCAGACCAGAAGGAGAGTGCCTGCAAGGCAGGTGTATATGGATCATGTAACTTGACTTGATAGAGTAAAAGGCTGCTCTCTAAATGAAATGATGGATATGGTGACTGATCATGAACATTGAAGAAGGTTTACTGAGGTTAAACCTCCATGCCTCGTGCTACCTTGGGGGCAAAGTTGGAAGAAGAAAAATAGACATTAGTAATTAATTTTATTCCTTAACAATTCCAAAAGTATGAAAAAAAATACTTCTAAGGAGTGAAATGGAAAATTCTCTCACAACCACCATGTTCTTGAGGTGTTGTTGCCCCTTTGTATCACCATTTCTTCTAACACTTTTAATTGTCCATTGGTTTTTATAATGATATAAAATAATGAATTGTTTCTAGTGAATCTCTTTTGATAGTGAAACCTATCTTTTGTCTGATCGATGGTTCATACTTTGATCAACATTACAATAAAAGAACTTTGAACTAAAGAATTATTTTTATCTTTATAATATTATTTATCCTTCTAATTTAGTTGCATGCTGTATTAGTTGTCAATTTTTATGTCCTTAATTAATTAAATTTTGATTGTAATGTATATCTGTTTTCGGATAATTATATTGTTATTTAATTTTTCTTTCTTTTACAGATTTGGTGGATTTTGTTGAAAGGATGTCGACTAGTATTTACCAAGCCCAGAATTTTAATATCGCTAATTTGCTTCACTATATTGAATGGTTTCAAGTTGTTTGGATGCCATCTTTCAACAGGATCATCATTTGTGTGCTGTGATGATATAACATCTCAAATTATACCTAGCATATTAACAGCAGTTTTTTCATTTAATATTCTTTTGATACCTCCTATTACAAGAAGAACAAGGGTAAAAAATTATTTTGGAATAATAATTCTTTTCAACTAATAACAATAGTAAGATTAATGTATTCCATTTTTGTTAAATAAGTGATGAGTTAGCTCTTCATTTTTATATCTGATATTGCAATTTACTTTAATTAATTACTAATTGAAAACTCGGTTGAAAACATTTTTTCACTTATTGCTGTTAATAAAGGATATCATTATCAGGAATTCTTCTTTATGAATAAAAGATAGATTCTGTTATATTGCTTTATTTCTTTATGTTTTCAAAAAATTCAACTCACATTGAAAATTACTGTCAAGGGTTAAAAACTATGAGTCAAGAAGGACTAGATCTGTATTCAAAGATGTTAATTCATAATATATTAGTGAATCTTTCAAATGCTCTTGTTTTTAGAATATATATATAAAGGTAAAAGAGTAATATTCAGTGGTGTATGATGTAGATATTCTATCCACATTCAATATCTTCAAATTATTAATATTTAAAGACTGATATTTAGCTAATTGTGATAAATTTCAATGTGATTATGAGCTAGTTCTCAAAGTTATCCTATTATTATAGAATTTGTTAAGTTGAATGACCAAAATGCATTGTGAAATTGGTCATTTAAGAGTTGCTAACATGTACCAATTTGTAAAAGTAAAACCTACCTTACGCTCTGGAGGAAGTGAACCAATGCTGCTGTATTAGATGTCATATCTGTGTCGATTTCAAACCTTGTTTCTTTTGAAAACCTTGCATCGGATTTTATCAGTAAAAAAAAAGTATAATGAAATGCTCCTGATAATCTTTATTTCTTCTGTATTCTGTAATTCTCATCAATATTAGATATAATATTATCTAATATTGATGAGAATTTATTTTTTATCTGATTGAATTATAGCATTTCAGTAATAATTAAAGTAATTTATTTTGTCCACTAAGCAGCTAAAAAATGATTTAAGAATTAAAAATAAAACTTTTTACCCCAGTTTTAAATTAATTAATTTATCTAATTTCTATTTAGGTTGAAAACATACCCATTAAAATTTAACCTTTTAGACATGAGCATTGAATTGAGTATTGGTCTGTTAATATAGCTTACATACTATTATATATTAATATCAATTTATAATTCATTTGACTTTGAAATTAAAAAAATATTTCAATATTTATTCATAACAAACCTCCCATTGTCATAAACAGTCACCTACTTTTTTGTTAAAATTTCATAATTAATTATATTTAACATAGATTATACTTTCATCATTTATAAGTATATCTATAGCTTGTCATGTTTCTAGTTCTTTATTTATGTAATTCCAGAAAATATATTTTCAGGTTTCATTTGATGTTGATCCTCCTTTACTTATTCTCTTTCTGCTACATTTACTTAGCTATACTAGTAGCAGTTATATCGAAGAAGAACACCAATTTTGGTATTTCTTCCTTACATCATTATTTTTATACACAATAATTTCTAAAGCAGCTTATAGCTGCATTGTTCCCTTATTAGTTCAAAGATTTCTCAGAAAACTAAATCAAACAGGCAACAAATGGGCATTTATTCCTGACATTGGTGATTGGTTAAATGAAGAAAAAAATATGACTCTTTTACTGATTGTTTATATTTCAGGTATATCTATATATCTTCGTTTCTTGACTTAGATCTATTATTTAAATTTTTATGTGTTAAAAAGTTGTGTTGTGTATTCACTAAATTACTAATCAGTTTTTGTACATTTTTTGAATATTTATGATTAATATCATGGGAGGAACAAAAAAAAAAAATGTTATTCCAGTGTTATTGTCTTCTTAAAATAACTAGGATACACAATTTGATGCTGCTAATTATAATGTATTTCCCTATGGGTGCAGGGATAATAGAATAAGCCCACAGTGTTTTACCGCTTGTCCTAGAAGGCTACTAAAGGGCCAACTGTCGGTTGACCATATTCCCTTTCCTTCCTATCAACTATTACTGACCCTTAGCATCCTTCTCCTTTTCTGACCTTTATCTTTCCGCCACTACCTTGCGGGCTAAAACAATGTTCAACAGCTAAGGGAGTCAGTCTCTATATAAAATCATGGTTCTCCCAAGTCTGGAGGTGGTCATAAGGCTAACAAATCTATACCAGTAAAACGTCATTGTTCAAAAGAAAAAAAGAGGATAGATATACGATCATGATAATCGTGAGGAAAAGGATCACTAAAACTAGCAACTTCGAATGTAAGAAGTTTGTACCAATAATTTGGTGCTAGTAAAGTAGTGGAGAGAGAGCTGCAGAGGTATAAGATGGGCATTTTAGCTTTACAGAAGACTTGGTGGAAAACGACAGAAATAGTAACCTCAGGTACTACATAGTAATTAATAGCGGTACCACAGGGAAGAATAACTTGTTGGGGGCAGGTTTCATTATTAAAAATATGATTAAGTAAGCCCTAATAAAGATTGAAATCATAAACAAATGGATATGCTACATTAGGTTGAGAGGAAAATTTTATAATATATCCCTAGTCAGCGTACATGCTCCTACAGAAAATAAAGAGGAATGAAATAAGATTTATTTTATGGAGCATTAGAAAGAGCTTATGATGATCTACCTAAGTATGACACAAAAATTTTAATGGAAGTTTTTAGGCTAAAGTTGGAAAGGAAAGTGCTTTCATACCTACAATTGGAAAATACAGCAAACATGAAATATCGAGTGAAAATGGAATCAGACTGATTGATTTTGCAACAGCTAGGGGACTAAGAGTAAGTAGTACTTCTTTCCCTACTAATTTCTTTATGTGGAAAAATTTCCTTTCCACGTAAAGAAATTTGGATATTGCCAGATGGGAACACTAGGGATCAAATCGATCATGTCTTGATGGACAAAAGACACAAGTTGCATATTTTGGATGCCCGCAGTTTTAAAGGGGCAGATTGTAATACTGATCATTTCTTGGTAGAAGTTAAATATAAACACAGGATTGCGAATGAATGGAAAAAGAGGAGAAACCAGAATAGTGTTATGGATAGAAGGCCTGAAAGATGATAGGATAAAAGAGATTTTTGAAGGAAGGGTCACACAAAGATTAAATGATAGAAATGTAGAAGAAACTACAGTTGAAGTGCGATGGTGGAAGATAAGAACCACCCTAATGGAGATTTCGGGGAAGTCCTTGCACATAGAAGTTGATACAAATAGAAGAAAGAAAGGAACCAAATGGTTTGATGGAAAATGCACTCAAGCAATTACAGAAAGAAATAATGCAAAAGCCAAATTCTTGAAGAGGACAAGAGCAACTAAGAAAAATTATGCAATGAAAAGAAAAAAGCTAAAGAAATATGCCGAATAAAGAAGAGAACATGAGAAAGGAAAATAATAGGAGAAATGCATGAATTTAATACAGCAAAAGAAACCCAGAAAATTTTACAAAGGAATCAGGAATGTAAGAACTGGTTTAAAACCACACCTAGATTACTGTAAAGATAAATGTGGAAACTTGTTGGGATCAAGGAAAGAAATACTAAATAGATAGACAGAATATTTTTCAGAAGTATTGAACCAAGGAGGTCACGATAGGTCAGGAGGTCAGGAAAGGTCACGATATTCGAATATACTAATGATAATAATAATGAATAACAAAAAAGAAACACAAAGAAATGGAGGTAACATATGTGAGGAAGAAGAGATACTGCCAGAGAAAGAAGAAATAAAACAGATAATTATGGCTTTAAAGAACAATAAATCTCCGGGTGTTGAAGAAATACCAGCTGAGCTGATAAAGAATGGCAGAGTAGAACTAATAAACAGCTCTACGATTTCATATGCATGATCTGGGTGCAGGAAACTATCCCTGAAGAATGGAAAACATGTTCTATTTTTAAAAAGTGAGACGTTGAACTGCACCAATTACAGAGGAATAGTGCTGCTACCAACTGTATATGAAGTAGAGAAGGGCAGTACTAGATTACTTTCATGATTTGATTAATTTTATTAGGAAAAAGTATCCAGTAGTTATGGGGCTGTAGTACTCGGGCTGATATCGGCGATTACTGTGAGTACTCACACTGCGTTAATCATGATTTAGTTAAGTACATAAAGTACTCGCGCTGTTATATCGAATTACAGAAAGTACTCAGCCAAATTCCTACCGAGAGTACTTTTTATTTTTCAACTACTCCCTCATTATTATAAAGAGTATAAATGTTTTCTTTTATTTCCTTCAATAATAGCAGCCATATTGGACCTAACCAACCCTAACCCCCCATTAATCGATATTAGACTAACCATCATGTTTTGGAGAGGCCTTTTTATAAAAATATACTATCGGATTTGATATAGTGCCCCCGGGCTTTGACTTTTTTTAACTTTTCCGATTAAATCAATGTCATGGTCGACTATTATGTTTTGGGGGGCGCTTTTTATGAAAATGATATCAAATTTGAGATAGTGCCCCTGGGCACTGACTTTTAGTAACTGTTCTGATTTAATAGATATCAGGGTCAACTATTAAGTTTTGGAAGACGCTTTTTATGAAAATACTTTCGGATTTGAGATTGCACACAGTGGATTCACTTTTTGGAATTAGTCAAAATCAGGGTCGTCTATTATATTTTAGGGGACGCATTTTATAAAAAAAATATAAAAAAACATTGATATCGATTTAATCCGTAAGGTTACAAAAAGTCGGGCCCCGGGGGCACTGTCTCAAATCCGACATCATTTCCATAAAAAGTGTTTCCCAAAACCTAATAATCAACATTGATATCTATTAAATCTGAAAAGTTACCAAAAGTTGTGCCCCGGGGGCACTATCTCAAATCCGACATCATTTCCATAAAAAGTGTCTCTCAAAACCTAATAATCAACATTGATATCTATTAAATCTGAAAAGGTTCAAAAAGTCGTGTCCTGGGGGCACTATCTCAAATCTGACATCATTTCCATAAAAAGTGTCCCCCAAAACCTAATAATCAACATTGATATCTATTAAATCTGAAAAGTTACCAAAAGTTGTGCCCCGGGGGCACTATCTCAAATTCGACATCATTTCCATAAAAAGTGTCCCCCAAAACCTAATAATCAACATTGATATCTATTAAATATGAAAATTTACAAAATGTTGGGCCCTGGGGGCACTATCTCAAAATTTATGAAAATGATTCGTAATCATTTTCATAAAAAGCACCTCCCAAAACATAAGAGTTGACCCTGATATCGATATAATCCAAAAAGTTAAAAAAAGTCTAGGACCGGGAGGCCCAATCTTAAATTCGATATCATTTGCATAAAAAGCACCCTCCAAAACATAAGAGTCGACCCTGATATCGATTTAATCCAAAAAGTTTAAAAAAGTAGAGGACCGGGGGGCACAATCTCAAATTCGATATCATTTTCATAAAAATCGTCCCCCAAAACATAATAGTCAACCCTGATATCGATTTAATCCAAAAAGTCGAGGCCCGGGGGGCCTAATCTCATATTCGATATCATTTCCTTAAAAAGTGTCCCCCAAAACCTAATAATCAACATTGATATCTATTAAATCTGAAAAGTTACAAAAAGTCGTGCCCCAATGGTCCCCAGAGTTGATTAAATCCAAAATATTTTAATGATTTTTTATTTTATCGATTTAAATTAATATCGATACTATTTTAAAAAACTATACTCCCATAAGATAACAATGGAATTAAATATGGAAGAAATATTAAATATTCTACTCCTGTAATTTTTGTAATGAAGTACTCGATTACTTTGAAAAGTACTCAGAGTAAAATATTTCTGAGTAGATTTGAAAATAGAAAGTACTCACGAGGACAGCTGATTACTTTTTGTACTTGTCAATCATGAGGTCGAGTAGTGATTAAAGTACTCGGTACTCGAACCGGGCGAGTATTTGAGTAAACTGCTCTGTAATTTGTACTTTTTACTCAGAGTACATTTTTGCCCATCTCTAATATGAAGTCCTTTCAATTGCTATTAGTAAAAGGCTAGCGTCATGGTGAGAAAGAAATTGTGGAAACTACCAATGTGGTTTCACGAAAAATAGATCAACAGTGTTGTTTGCTGTCAGGCAGATGTTAGAAAGCATACAAACATAATGTGGATCTGAATGAAGAGCTAAATGAGCTTTATAAGAATGACAATATTTTTGTCACAGTCAAAAGGCACCACCCCAGATGGCTTGGTCATGTAGAAAGGATGGAGGAAGATAGATTACCAAGGAAAATTCTTTATAACCCCTCAGGAGGGCGCAGGGGAAGACCTCAGCTGCTGTGGATCAACAACGTAGAAGACCTCAGCTGTATGGGTGTAAGAAGGTGGAGGAGAGCAGCTGTGGATTGAGAAGCCTGGTGGAAGCTGGTTTCTGAGGCCCTGGTCCATTAAGGACTGTTAAGCAAATTAATAATAAAATTATAAAGTAATTAAAATTATAATTATTGGCTTAAGTTAAGTGGGGTCAAATGCCTTTTTGAAAAAATCAAGTAATTAAATCATTCATATAAAAAAATTAACAAACAACTTTTTATCTTCATTCACTCCACTTAAACTTCTCTGGTTGTAATATGTATATGTTTTTCTCCCCTTATTTTCTTTGACAAAGCTGTAGTTCTCTTGTTTTCCCTTTCACTCTGCTATATAATGAACTGTTTTCATTATTATGCAATCATTCTTTGTTGATTTCAATATCATTGTTCTATTGTTTATTCCACAAATTTAGTTGTTTTCTATTTGAAAATGAAGCATGCTTTATCAATGAACCTGAACTGTTATTCTCTTAATAATCTGAGATGCTATTCCTACATTTTATAACCTATATTATGGATTATTTCAATATCTCACTTATTGTGTTTATTGCCAAGAATGTTGGGATATAAGCTGTTGATTGTATTTATTATTTGTTTTGTTGTGTAAATACTAGGTGTTAACAACTTCTATGTTTTTACCTTTATATGAAAATGATAGGTAACTACTGCTCAAACTTTGATAAACTTACTGCTCAAAATATATCTTATTTCCTATCACTTGAATCCATCTCTGAACCAACAATGGGATCCTCTACCCTTCCGGCTCCTATAATTTTGTGATTTGGCTCACTATGCCATTTTATAAAACTAACAAAGATCACTGAGGCAGTGTGTCAAGCGTACAGAAATTTCCTGAAAAACTGGGAAATGTACGGGGATTTTTCAAAGATTCCTTGAAAAAAAAATTTTTTGTGCTCTTTTTTGACAATACATACTTTTTTTGTTTCTTTACTATAATTGTACATATTCGAGAGTTATTCATTTATTTTATTATTGTTGGTCATAAATTGCTAAAAAAAATCTGGTGCACGCATCACACAACTTTCACTTACCAGAAACCTCTTAGCAGAAATAAGTATTTTCAGAAAAAGGGAAGTGAAAGTAAAAACTATAGACACTGTATTGTTTTTATATTTCATTGTGGGTGTTTTTATTTGTTTAAGTATCCTTATATATATTAATTTTAATTGTTATATTGTTGTAATCTATACAATTAAATATTAAACAGTACCAATGATAGCATTTATGAAAATCGCACATGTATATGAACATAATATTGCCGGAGTCCATATTATATGAAGCTCATGTTACGTATGGAAGCCTGTTGTAATCTTTGGACTCAGGGGACCTTAAAACATGTATTTCTGATGAAAACTCAGATTCGGAAATGTTCACGATTGCAATTCTTACCCTTATTATATTGGTAAGTGTAAGTAAACAGGATGGACCAGGAACTTTGAATAATATGTTTCTGATGATTGAAACAACATTTCCCGAAATGTCCAACAAATATAGTAAATAGAAAAAATAATTTTTTTTTTCTTGATTTCTAGTTTTTCAAAAAAGTCATTATTTTCTCTTTTGATATAGCATGTAAGAGTTTTATGGTACTATTTTTATGTGGGTATGGACAGTTTTTAAATCAGTCTTTGAAATGAGGTGCATGAGCATGGTCTGACCAAATTAGATGTTCTTTAATACAATTTTTTACTTGTCTTCCAGTCTGCAACAGATATGCAACTGCAATATAAAATTAACAACTTAAAAGTTTAAACAGTATGTTTTTTATAATTTTATAGATGATTTTGATTGTTCTTAATTTTATTGTTTCGAGTGTTTTTAACAGTTACCATATGGTAACTGGTAAAAAGCCCTAATGTTTTCCAGATTGGATTTTGATGAAGAGAGAATGAGAATGACAGAAAGCTGATTTTTTTTTAAAATGTCTCAAAAACGATGAGGTTTATTGCAAATTTTATTCAATAAAATATTAAAGTAATTTAAAATATCTATACAAATAATCCTGTTAATTTTTTTGATAAATTAAATGGTTATGTAGATATTTAAGAGATTACATTTATAAAATTGTCATTTAAAGCAAAAATTGATCCAAACCATGAAATAGTCGTTGTTGATACCACAACGTACGTTGTTGTCGTAGATGATACCATTTCAAAGTTAAATTTATTTTTTCAATATTTTTTATCATTTGTATTTTTAATTAAAAGTTTCTTTGTTTTGGAGAGAGAGAAATACTTTATTGCAAGTAATACTACCCTACTACATAATGTTGCTTTAGATTAGCATGAGCGGTAATGTTGCTTCGTACACAGCATACTGATCAATCCACATAGGACATAGCTCTTACATTCTATTATTCCATTATTACATAAACATATTATTTTTATTCTCCCTTTTCATAACACTAGTCATATACAATATCACTAATATACCACATTAAACATTACCATTATATAACACATATATTGTCTTAAAAAAAATAAATAAAAAAAGTATTCAAATACTAGAAATACAAGATAAAAAGATAAGACAAAGCTAAAAATTAAAATTGAATAAATTTTATAATAAAAAAATATATACTAAATTTACTCAATTCAATAACTATACATATAATATTGGATATTCCTTTCTTAAAAATGCTGAACTCCAATTCCTTGCCACCTGCAGCTGGCCCATTCTTCAAAAGAATTTTCTCTTAGTGACTGTCGTAGAGCTCTCACATTTTGGCCCTGATCCACTCCTAGTCTTTCTGCATATTCGGCGATTTCTTTATATTAATCAAATGTGGACTGGAACAGAGCATCTGGTACATTAGGCAGTTGCTGAGTAATGGACCAATGCTGCAAAGCAGTTTCCCATTGACAACAGATCAATCCCAATACTCGATACCTCCTTGGTGCATACAACATCGCCGTTGATGTATAAGCGTGGAGCCCGATAATGTCCTTGATACTCCTGTCAAAATTTGTATCAATTCCTTCCAGTATCGCAGGACATATCTTTGTGACGGGTGCCGTCTGGAGAGGGTAAGTCCCAGGAACACGTAACATTGTCAAGAAGGCAAGAGTTTACCAATTTATCCAAATTGTTGTTTAATTTGGTCGCCATTTCTTCATTCAGTACCAGCTCTCCCGAGAACGTACATCCTAAATACTTTATAGTCTCACCATCCTTTGCTGAATCGATGGTTTCTCCATTCTCTAGGGAGAGCTTTGTTTGTTGCAGCTCTCCTTTATCGATTATTAAGCCCATGCGTTTCTGTGGATTTACAACCAGACCAATCTCCGCAAGGATCCTCTGCACACAATTGATAATCCTCTCTGCAGCACCCTTGTTACGTGCCATAACAACCTAGTCATCCGCCAAGCCTGTGAGGACCACACATTCTTGGTTGCTGGTTATTTGGTATCCATAGCGTTTCGAAAATTCCTGCTCACACATGTTGCAGTATAGATGGTCTATAGCCAGGTTAAACAGCAAAGGTGACAAGGGTCCGCCTTGGGATACTCCTCACCGCATTTTGATCCAGTTTGTCGAATGGGCTCCGACTCACATCTTGATTTGGTTAGAGTCCGCGAGTGCTGCAATCACATTTTTTTTTTGGTCCGGTGACACTCCTCTTGACCAACATTGTCAAAAGCAAAATAAATATCAAGAAGTACCACCGAGCAATCATTTTTTTTATTCTTGGCATATGGCATATGGCATCATTTTTTATTATAATGGCACTGATGATTCTTGCACTCACATGTGCTCCCAGTAGGCCCCTGATGAAGCCTCTCTGATTTTTGCTGAAGGTAATCTGTTTTTTTAGTTCTTGGTCCAGAACCTTCTCAATGATTCGGCGCACAATTGAATAAATGGCAATTGGTCTCTTCTTTTCTTTTTCTTTCTTTTCCCCTTATAGAGCAGGATTGCGCACCCTTGAGATTCTGGTACTTAAAACACCTTCAGCATAATCTCTGCAATAGTCTTGATGATATGAGATATGTTGAAGTACTTTATCGTGCGGATCAAAAAACTGTCAGGCCCCGCCAATGTGTCTAATGGCGTTGATTTTATAGCTTTTCTTTAAATTTTCATATTTAAAGACAATTGGGAATAAAAAACATTTAATGCAATACATAGACTATTTACAACCTATTATTGATCTAAGTTTTTATTTAATAGTATTTTTATTCTAACGTTTGCTTTTGTTTCTATTTGTTAGTTTTTAATCTGTTTTTATTGTTCTTTGTTTTAGGGCAATTGGTTATAATATATTGGTTTTTAAAGCACATGATTGAAAAGAATGTTAGAAAATGGCTCTTGTTTCTTGAAATAATTTTGTTTTTATTTCAAATACTTGTTATAACATTATATAGGTTTTCAATTGGAGATTTGAGTTTCCTGGCATCACCATTGCTGGAATCAAGGTAAATATATTTTATTCAATTCTCTGTATTTATATCATTTTGTCGAAGGTCCCAGGTTATTTGGAATTCAGTCACCATAGGAAACGAATAAAGTTAATTATTTTCTTAACTATTTAATTGTCAAAGAGGGAAAAGAAATTTCATAATGTATACTAAATTCAGTATAATATGTATTTTTTTCAACCAGCCAGTATGTTCAGGTAATTGCTGGTTTTAATGTTATACTGTTTTTAATTTCAATAAATCAGGAGAGAAAAACATGTATACCAGATGTAAGTTTAGTGAAGTTTACCTTTGTTCATCTCACATTTCTTAGAAATGATGTGTTGTAAAATGTTCTAGGATGAAATTACAATTAAGGCATGCAATAGAGCTTTGAGGAAATAGGAAATGAGGAAACTGATACATGGAAACTTTAAACAGATGCTTGTAAATTGATGGTTGCATTAAATTCAATTAATTTCCTAAGTTCTTGTGATTTTCTATTTATCCTCAGAAAATTATATTGAATGGCAAACTGATAAATAAACACTTAAGAGGAGAAGAACGAATACTAAACCAGTATAAAGATAATACTGACAGAGGGATGTTACAACCATGGGATCATTGTCAAATACATTGTTTTTGATGATATGTCAAAAAATATTTGTCACCTATCCAAGGGTTCTTGCCAATGCACTTTAGGGGCCAAGAAAAAACATGTTTTATACAACTTCAATATTTTTCTATATTATTTGTTTTTTAAATTTACTCTTCACAGATTATTCCTTGGTTATTATTTACCAGTCAATTTTATTTGTGTTAGAAAAAAAAATTGCCAATTGTATTAAATGAAATCAAATATTTAAGAAATAACAAAAATCATAAAATGCTTCCAGTAACGTAATCCAAGTAAATTTTTGTAATGGAAAAGCAAGACTAATTCAATTTTAGCTTCATATAAAACCCTTAAATACAAAATTGTACTGAAATTATTTTATATGTGTGTGTATATATATATATATATATATATATATATATATATATATATATATATATATATATATATATATATATTGCTTGAAAAAAAAAACTTTAGACTGTTTTATCTCTAAAGAAAAAATTTTATTTAACATTAATTTAAAAAATAAATTAGTAATAGATAATACTTAACAACTAGTAGGCCCATGCGAAAAATTCGCACAGCATATTGTTATCAAATGCCAAATTAATAAGAAAATGCAACTTATCAAAAGATTAAGACATCAAATGTTACTTTATCGATAAATATAATCCACAAAGGAAACAAAAATTAATTTAAATCTTCATTTTTGTTTGGAACCAACATGTATACAAATTTCAGTAAGCTGTATATTTGCTAAAAATTGTCCGATTGCGATGATTTTTTTTTTCCTTTTGTAGGGAATTTAGTAATCTTTTATATAATTATGGGCATAACCAAGGGAAAAGTGTGTAATTTTTCAGTTATTCGCAAATAAAATTTATTTTCTTTCATAACTTGTTTGCCTGAATTTTCTGGGTGGTTGAACTATTTTGCCAGCCTGAAGGAGAAGGAAGCCTTCAAAATTGGTGGCTCAATCTTGAGATTTGGTGAAAAATTAACGATGATATGGCTTGCCGATCAAAAACACCATCGATGAATAATATAAACTCTCCCTCTCTCGATCATAGAGACCTCAAGTCGACGAAATGAGACATGTATTCAATGACAGTACTACAATTAATGTAAGGTTGTGTGGATGCGACCCCTATGCCTTGCGTTATCTCGAAAATAGTACGTTTTTCGGCTTAAAAATGCAGGATTCGATAGTTCCGAAGGAACTATTCGGGTCTTGCTGTACGCATCAAAATCTTTAAGATACAATTTGTCCCGTATCGATCTACAGACCTACCACCGTCCCAGTATCGAAGCCTAGAAAAATGTTTGTATCGACTTTATTTATTTTAGAAAGAAAAACAAAAGTCGAGAATACGATTCGCTAACCCCTCGTGAAATTCTGAATCCAACGGTACCCCATTCGTGGTATTTGAGCATGACAGGAGCTTATATTTGGTACAAAACCGATTTCGAGCCTTACTGTAATAATATATGTACGGATATTTAAAATTTGTAAATTACCTAAAGAAAAATAGGTTTCTAAAGTTTGTTGTATAACTAGGAAATATAAATGATTAAACTATAGAGCTTTTATAATTATAAAATAAATTCATCTAAAACTTAATAACTTCACATTATGTGCTTAGATAACATATGTTAAATAAAACAATTGCTCTTATGATCTACCACCATTTAAAATTAAAAGTGAGCAATTCACTTTTATATCTCTCCTCTCCCCCCCCCTCGAAATGGTATCAGTTTACTGCTATGAAAAAAATTAGCATATGAATGCTGTGATCCATTTTCAATCTCACAAATTGTAGGGGAAACCCGACGTATTATCATGTATAGCCCTGATCTTAGAGGTTCCAAATTTTTCCGTTTTAAATGGTTGGCCGCTTCTACGTACACCATATACGCCGCTTTCTTCTTCAGGTTTTATTTAATGAGTGGTGGTTAATTGAATTTTGAAACGCTAGTATTCTGTCGGTTGTCAAGTCTGGAAGAGTACTTATGGACTGAGGAGTTATCAACGATTGTCTTCCTGTTATTAAGTACAGTGGGGAGAACTTAGTCACACTGTATGTGGTACGATTATAATCTTCAGTACATTCTGCAACCAACTTTGTCCATGGATGGCGTGGTTGTTTACTAATCTTACAGCGAATGCGGTTACTGGTGTTTGGTTTAACCGTTCATTCAATCCGTTTGAATCGATGAAAAAATTTTTTGAATTTCTTTAAAGTGATTCCGATATATTGATCTGCTAGAAGAATTTTTATATTATTTTTTTTTCAAAAACAGGACGTAAGAATTGAATTAGTTCATTTGTCGTCTGACCTCTAGAAGAGCAGGTATATGCAAATCGTGTGAAGTGTTTGACCAAAAGATGCAGATAACGCTGAGGCAATCGATTACCTGTAAAGCCACCAATAGTGTCAAGAGACATGATTTCATAAGGTTCTTGTGCTGGACCTAATTGAGACAGAATTCCACTTTCGTCAGCTCTTCTAGATTTGTTCTTTTTGCATGTTTCACAATGTTTGTAAAATTCTTCTATCAATTTATCCATATTTTTTAAATATTAAAAAGGTCTTATCTTGGCTGCTATGTGACCTACTCCAATGTGTCCACAGTATATGTGATTTTTTAAATTAAAAATTATCCAAAATCTTTTGAGACAATTATACGTCTTCTGCCCCGTAATTTCTTAAAAATTAAATTGCCCTTTTTGTATATATTTTTGTCCGAAGTGATCTCATTCTCAATTTCTTCTTGGTCATGCTTGGGTTCCTCAATTGTTGAGCACCTTCAAGTTCATTACTTGAAGTACATCATCACAATTCTCAAAATTTTCTATTTATCTTCTTATTTTTCTTTTTTTAGGAAGCCTAGGTTTATATATTTTTTCATAATTAAAGCAAAAAAACTTTCAATTTCCTTCAAATCCCTTTATTCACATTTATCACCTCTAGCGTTTCAGGTCAATTTTCCCATCATCAGAGCAATCCTTATATTCACTGAAACTTGCTTTTTTGATGTGGCACCATTTGTAAAAAATTTAAATATTTGTCACATTCATTATTTATTTATTTGGTGTTACACATCCTTTTTTTATTCATTGTTACACTAACCTACATCTGGCTATCTTCAATCAAGATAGAATTGAAGTTTTTAGGAGTATCCTGACCTGTTTTTTAAATTCTTCTTCCAAGATTTCTTTGACCTCTTTTTTGAATGTAAGCAGCTGTGAGATACCAAGATACTTGTAGGAGTCAGTTAACTGAAGTTGCTTGATGACATCACTATTATTAAATTCAATATTAGCTGAATCCTTATATCTTTCTCTGTGAACATTAAGGGTTGCACATATGTCTGTTCCTAACTTCACCCCAATATCTTCAGTGAATGACTTTATCAACTCTCATGTCTCTCCCGTTCTTTGCATAGAGCTTTAATCATCCATATAAAAAGAGTGAGAAATTGTTGTTTCCTGATTCAGGGAATAATCTTTTCCAGATTTATTTAAAATAGAGCTTAGAGGATTAATTGCGAGGCAGAACCATAAAGGCTTAATGAATCCCCCTGAAATATTCCTCTTTTTATTGGAATGTTCTCTGAGACGACAGCTTCTTTTTAGTTGGATGTACCAATGATACTTCCCAGAGCTTCATAAGTTGTTGCAATAGTTCTATTACTTTTTGATTGAGCTTATAAATCCCGAAAATTTCAATCAACCAGTCATGAGGGATTGAGTCGAATGCTTTTTGATAGTCAATCTACGAAAGAGATATATTACTTGACTTTTTTGATATTTGATAAGCTATGAATAAATCGACTAAAAGAAGCTCTTTACATCCCTTAGAGTTTTGCTTACATCCAAACTACTCTTGTGCCATAAGGTTGTTCTTTTGGACATGTCCCATTAGTTTATTGCTGATTATGGATGTCAAAAACTTGTAAACTCTATTCAGACATGTTATTGGTTGATAGTCTTTTGGCTCTGGGGATTCTTTTGTTTTTTTCGGAATCAAATGTGTCTTCCCTAAGCAGAAGTCCTTTGGAGGTGTAACTAAATTGCACATCAGTTTCTGATAGTAAGAGGCTCCATGAACACTTTTAAAGTGTTTGAGCCAATAGTTTTGAATTTTATCTGACCCTTGTGTTTTCCAGTTATGTGCGTACTTGATAGATTCCTGTACATCATCGGCAGTAATTTGCATTGCATCCATGGTTGGAACATTCTTTGTTGCATCTTGCAAATTCCTAAGCCAGAAAGCATTCTTATTGTAGTTCCTTGGACTGCCCCAAATGTTTTTCCAATAACTAGAGAAATCAGAATCATCGGGATGTGGCAAAGAAAAAGAGTCTTCCTTTGTTTTCGGTTTCAGGCTATTATAAA